GTCTTAGGATCGCTGCGGCTGGCATTCTCGGCATCCCTCATTTCTGTGTCTTCTGCAGTCTGGTCCTGAGTAACGGGGTCTTTGGGTGGTATTAATGACTTAGTCGGATCGGGGAGAAAGGGGATGGGATCAAGGTGACGCTTGAGCAGAGCAGGCATTTTCTTTTTGAGCCATGGAGCCATTATCGGATGCGATAGAGCCATCTCATCGCCAAGTAGCTGCAGTTGGTCTTTCAACTGCTCACCCGCCATGCCTTCTGCTAAGGAGGGAGGCTCAACTTCCACGACAGCAGGGTCGTCATCCAACTCAATCGCAGCCTCAAGACAAAACCGCTTGAGACGGTGACTATTCATGGCGCCCGCGAACCGAGCAGCCCTTCTCCAGAGCTCTGGGTCGGATGGGTCCTGATCCAAAGCAGTCATCCAGCTATCCAAGACTTTGTTTGCATGGTCGTCATGATATTTCAATCGGGTCTTTTCCTTGAATGCCGGATTTGAGGTCGATTCGTCCTTGTACTTGTCGACAAAAAACTGTCCGTAGTTTTTGTACGATAAGTAGAGCGCTTGAGAAAGGCTGGCTGCGACACCATCTGCCCCTCCGGCATCGACATCTAACCCTCCATCTGTAAGCGAATGGTCCAAGTTGGACACATCTGGTTGACCATCTGCATGTCGCTCTGCTCGTTCGTAGTCTGTTTTGGCTTCTCGGTATTTGAAGATTTCGGATTCGAATAGCTCGTTGTATGCGGTTTCGGCAGCTTCGCGCGATCGGGGCCCTTGTGCATGGAGTTTCAAGGCATTCTGGAACCTTTTTAGAGCTTCATCGACCTGAAATAGGTCAGCAAGTGTGCGCGATTGTTTCGTTAGCTGTCAATCTCACATGAATCTCCTTTGTGGTGTCGATTTGCTCGTCGATATTGTCCTCTGGCTCGAGGTTGATTGCTTGGAATGCCGGCTTTAAATATTTAATTAGCAAAGATTCTCTCCAACATTGGGTATCATACCATATTGGCGGTCGCAATACTTCTAGAGCAACAGCCGACATTCGGGTGTGCGACAAAGGATATATCCTAACAAAGTTGGCTATTTTGATGAGAGTTTGGGGTCAATTCGGCATGCTTGGCGGACGTCCACCTCATTAATTGCCCTGACGAAAGCGCGTTCTCAGACGCGGATCATTTCAGCCTCGTTACGCCACATAGAGACTCGGTTTATTGCGGTGGGAGTACGTGGATGTGGCGGTGTTTGGAGCTGCACGGCCCCTAACGTGGCCTGGACTAACTCAGTACGTAGCTCCCGGTCCAGCTATCAAGGAGAGCAAGGAGCAAGGCCAGATCTTAGGGAGGGACCAGCAACCAACGGTTGGCTTCAACATCTTACGCCAGCTCCGCAGTTCTCGTTCTCGATTCGAGAACAAAGAGATCGCAACCGACCTCGACTTTTCCCCTCTTTATTCCCCGGACGAGTCAATTTCGACAATCCTCGCTTCAATCTCGACTCTGATTTCCATTAGCGGTTCGCGAGGAGCTCGTCGTCATGGTCGCGCCAGCGGTCCCTGAGTGCGCAACACCCTCGATATTCTTGGCGTTCAAGTAGCTAATCTCGAGATAGAATCACCGAGGAGATCCTCCACGAGTCGATCGATGCACGAACCGAATCCCTTTCTGGCCTAAGAGAACTTGGTCCTCCCGATCTTGTTCATCTACTCAAGCATGCTGTGCGAAACCCAGCTAAACAGGTATGCAAGCTCCTCGGCGCAAGGGAGACCAGGAACTGACTTCTTAAAGACTGGCGTCTACCACCATGTTACCGGTGTCGATGCATCCTCTTCTGCGAGTCTAGCAGCATATATTAATACCCTAACCTACAAAGAATCCGGGCCAAATGCGACAAATAAGATTGTCGAGGGTGTCTACTGGTACGTCATGACGCCTATGCGCCCCTGCATTCGCGATTGCAGGCCCTAAATCTGAATAGCTGCTACAATGCCTTCTCCCGGCTCGACATGCGCGTACACGTATCGATTCCCGGAACCGTAGAAAGCTACTGCGTCGACGAACGAGGCGAGAAGAGGAAAGCATCGGAGGAGCTTTGGCTGGAGACTTATCTATGCAGCGTTCTTCGAGCTTACTCGTACGCAGACGATGGTAGCGGCGATACCATTCGAAAGATTATGGGTGTTCGAAGATTCAATCCTGTTACAAACACTGAAACCGAGCATCGTTTCCTCCATGCCGCAGAACAGCTCTTCTTCAGGGGTATGCCACCCCAAATTGGCTACTCTGCCTATGCTAACCAACTTTCTAGGATGGCAGCTGGGTTCCGATTCTGTGGTTCAGGTGCCTACCAACGTGTCGAATCACCTAACTACGGGTCTGCTCAAGTACCTCGAGACAACCGGGCGCTATGCCTCTGGAATCAACTTGTTTGAGAAGCTTCGAACGCAAAGCGTCGAGGTATCATCTCTCCTAGCGAAGGTCATGTTCATGGGACACGAGGAAGTTGCTGGGGTCCGAACGCTTCACCAGTCCTTGCAAGAGACTCCAATGGACTATGTCATGCTCGACACTCAAGCAGAATTCTTGTTGCACAAGGCCAAGAGTGCCCCTACGCCTGAGCTCAGAGACGAAAGACTGAAGATGTCTCTTGGTTGTGCGGATCGCGCTACTGTCGCCGCCCCAACCGAGTTCAGCACCTGGGCGAGACTGGCCCAGGTATACGTAGCTATGGAAGATTGGGACAATGCGCTCACCATTCTCAACTCATGCCCTATGTTCACTTACCAAGACAAGGACACGCCTCTGATGCCAGAACCAAAGGAAGTTCACTTGCCGACTCTCCCTGAAACTCGCCTTGACGAGATTGACAGCGAGCCTGAATCGCGATACTCAGAACAGGTCGATCCTAGCTTGCTCAACCTGCGAGCGGCATCCTACAGGGGCACTTTTAAGAAAGCGTACGATATCCTGACCGAGATGACAGCCAAGATTGGTTGGGACCAGCTTCTAAAGATCAGGAGTAATGTATTTGTGATGGAGGATGAGTACCGCACAGAGAAGCAGGAGGCTACTCAGCCAGCCTCCTCGGCAAAGCGAACTCCTAGCACAGATGGTCTACGGGGTACACCTGATCAGACTGTCAATCAAGATGAAGAGACTGAGGACGAGGAGGTAGAGAAGCTTGATGAGGCCGCTTCCAAGGCTGAGGAAGCCGGCGAGGAGGTCCCTGCTACCAACGGTACCAGCGAACAGGACAAGATCGAGAAGCCTTCTAATGTCATCGACCCAGGCGAGGCAAAGGCGGACAGCGAGGTAGGCTTTATCTTCATGCCATACATGACCAATACTAACAATCCACAGACAACCAAGAATGATGAGCACTTGTCCAAGCTCAACACCAAGCGCCTTTGTGAGCGTTGGCTAGACAGCCTCTTCATGGTGCTCTACGAAGACCTGCGTGTCTACACAATCTGGCGTACCCAGATGGCTCAGTACCGCGCCCAGCAGATGCAGTACAAGAAGTCGGCAGAGGAGTGGGAGATCCTCGGTTCTCTCGCCGAGCGTCTCCAGCACGTCGACGAAGCTGTCGAGGCGTACCGCGCATGCCTATCAATCCGTTTCAGCCCCAAGGCCCTCGCCGGCATCCTACGTGTCTTTGAGAAAACTAAGAGCACAAGAGAGACTGTGGCATCCGTGATCCGACTAGTGACATGGCAGTACCGATGGTACAGCGAGTTCAGCCCTGAGCTGCTGCACACGATACGGACTCTGATCGAGGACGAGGGAGCAGTGAAGGTCCGGAGCATCATTCAAGCTACCAGCTTGCCGCAGAATGTGCTGGATCTCACACATCACTATGCTGCGCTGTGCGCGACATTCAGGAGCAGCGGTACCGACGGTTAGGATTGAGCGATATGGTCTGTTTCAAAAGGATGTTTGTGGATGATGGATGTTTAGATATACATTGGGGAGATGCGTGCGTGGTATAGGAAGCAAGCTAATTGACGATTCAAGTCCTTGGTAGGGTAAAAGTTTCGTTCAGGGAGTTTCTGGGTGATGTGTGATTCAGTGTTTGAAGAATAGTAATGCGATTTGTATTTGTATGAGCAGCATGGCCCTCAGTATCTGGTTTGTTATTGTGTAACCTTGATTCTGTGTCGAACAGCTGCGATGCCTGATGCTCTTTAGCTAGATTCCTTCTCATCCATGGGTGAAAGTAGTCTCCTCTCGAGAAGCAGAGTGAGTGCCTTGTATGCTGTGCTCCGGCAGCCAGGCTCTACTAATGTGCATCTGTTCAATTCTATATCCGATTACTTGCATTCTCTCGACTGTTTATCAGAGTCGAGTCTGTCTGAATCTTATCCCATATCTTGGCGTAATAAAGCGAGGCAGCACATCTTCTTTTTTCTTCAAACATTCACCTGCAGTACAGTACCCTGCGTCTCTCAGATCATTCCTTCCAGGGTCCCGCCATTATCTATGGTAACGGAAGTGCCTCCTTGAAGCAATATAGAAGTTCTTGCTCATGGCTTGACTGATCCACTACGTTTCACCAAGAAGGCAGCCCCACAGAAGCTTGAGAACAGAGGCAAACAAAACCCGTAGGATCCTTATCATCAGTTGGAAAAGAATTAGGCAAATTTAGTATATGTTAACAGTTGTTAAGACCAATTAATCTTGGCAGCCTGGGCTTAGCATCAGAAGTCTTTTTGCTTCTTGGGGGATGGATTACAGGTAAGGTACGCTAAGCTTCGTAGGTACATCGAGAGCTACTGCCTCCAACAGCAAGGTACTAACAGTACCCCACCATCGTCATACCTCACCTTTCCTTTCCTTCTACCTCTTGCTTCCAACTTCAACATCAACATCTACATCACGCAAACAGTCTATCGCTCAACTCTTTCTTGATATCATCATCATCAAGAGAATATCCCCGCAAGTGAAGAAGAGACACACCATCATCTCCCATCCATAAGCTAGCTAATAGCTACATCGTCCGACAATGTCCAAACGTATCACAAAGGTAAACCCTCCTCCTTTCCATCCTCAATACCACCGATTAACATATCCCAGGAATTCGGTGAGATTTCCCAAAACCCGCCTGAGGGTTTCTCCATCTCCCTCCCTCCTGATGAGACCATCTACACCTGGCATGTTACGCTCACGGCACCTGAGTCATCACCCTACCACCCAGGCAAATTCGGAATCGTCCTGACCCTGCCAATTGAATACCCCTTCAAGCCGCCTGTCGTCAAGTTCATCACTCGAATCTATCACCCCAACGTCACAAACGACGGCCAGGGCAACATCTGCCTTGGCCTCCTCAAGCCCGACGCTTGGAAACCCAGCACACAGCTCCGCGCTGTTCTCGAGGGCCTTCGCAACCTCCTAGAGGAGCCCCAGATCGGCGACCCCCTCGAGGAGCGAATTGCTCAAGAGTATCAGAGCAACCGCGCCGAGTTTGATAAAAACGCCAAGAAACATGTTGAGATGTATGCAATGGGTTCGCCTGACTTTCCTCCGGTTGCCTAGAATGGCAGTCTTGGGAACAACGGGAGCGGCGTCGTAGCACCAGTACCTTCCAGTATGCCTGCGCCTACCGCCCCTGCACCTCAATTGTATTTCAGACCACACGCACCAGTCGCAGAAAGTCTGATACACGCTACAGGTCCTAGAATGGTGCACCCCGGAGTGTCTTTGGACGATCTAAGTCTAGAGCAAGGAGTAGAGGCACGGGAAAGAATGGGGGAATCAATACTAAGACAACGAGAACAGGAACAACTCCGGGCTGGTGTAGAGAAAGATGTCGTCGAATCGGCTGACCAGGCGGAGGGGGAGCAACAATAGCGACGATGGCTCAGAAACTGGTTGCATCGCATCGGGAGGCGTCTTGCTAGGTTCTTTTGAATTTTATAGCGAATGCTTGAAAAGGGCGAGATGAGCTAAATGGAATAGCGAACGCACAGGATGTATATTGATGCCTCTCCGGGCTTTCTGTCAGTATATCATTATTGGAAATGAAAATACACATGAACTACAAAGGCGAAAGACGACTTCTCTCTTATCACAAAGTCCTTCAGATCATCGTGGACTCGTGCATATCAGGTAATCTTTGCAAGTTCTTTACCATCATGGCAAAAGACGTGCTATTGTATACGTAGAGTTTCTCAAGAGCGAGCCTGGTAAGCAACATTATTTGTCATACTCTATCGTGAAACTTGTTGATTGAAGCCACCATAGCTGAAGCTGGATCTTAGTCCCAAATGATGCAAATCCAGACTGATACGTTTTCTGTAGTGCGCGCTAACTTTTGACGCTTTATTTTTCATCCTACTTACAAGACTCCATTCTCAAGATCAGTGTAAGTGTCAGCATACCAAGTCTCCCCTTCTCAGTCATTTCAGCGCAACATGGCTGATGGCTGTCTCACTCTGGCCATGCTCACAAGACTCATCATGAGACATTACCATTCATCACGAGCAAATAGCCCGATTAGCTTTTGTCTCAGACAGATCGAGGCATGTGGATAAGGGTGAGACATTAATAGACCACGCGCGTAGTGCAAAGAGAACGAACAGAACAGTCATGTAATTATCTTTCATTCCATTAGGGTATCAAAAAAGGTTATCCCCCAAATCTACTCCTCGACAATAAGGTTCTACCCAGTTCATACGTAATTTTCCCTCCCCATCTATATGAAAACCAGACACCGCCTGGCTTTGCCAGTCCTTTGCATCCTAGCCATACCTCTCCCTCCGTAGGAAGACTTTTTTTCTTCCCTACAAGAGTGCTGTGAGGTTGGTGGTGCTTTTTTTGTCTTGTCGCAATGCAGCCGTAAACCATCGTCATCAAGTATAAAACAGTGTTTCCTTTTTTAGGTTCCATTCCATCCTGTACATTCCAGCCGTCCAACGCTGATCCCTCCCCGCTGCTTTGAGACATTGTAAATGAGCTCCCCCAGATATTGGGGTAAGCTGAAAAGGAAATAAAGGAAATTTTTGAAAGGAAGGTTGATATTGAAAGTGAATAAAGAAAAAAACGAAGACACAATGCCGGCTAAATCGAGAAATAGACCATGCCTTCCATTGAAACGCCATTCCATGATAAGGTTCGGTGGCTCAGACCTGTTTCAGTGCGAGCCAAGGTGTACCGAAATGAGAAAGAAGTGAGGTAGTAAAAGGAGATATTGAAGGAGTGTCGAAGGGATCGAGATGATGTGATGATGTTGACGCGGCTCAGATGTTTAATTTCCTGGTGTTTCGGGTTGGGGTAGACAGTGGTGGCTGTCCTCCAACTCCGCCTATCCGACGTTCCATGTCTTGCCCTGACGGACTCGATCCAGCTGCGCCTTAGCTCGTCGTTGCTGGCGCTTTTCGTCAATCTGGACCTGGCTGAGGTGCCCGAAGCCATTCCGTCGTTTGAAGCAAGCCTCCATAAGGGCGTTAGCGTCGATCAGTCGGCGTGGCATCGATTGCACAACACCAAACATCTCCATAGGATCGGCTACAGCCCGAATCTCGCTCTCGCCTAGCTTGAAGATGGCCAGTGCAATGCGGAATAGAGTCTTGGAGCCCTCGTAGAAGAAGACATCCCACACCCGGAGAGTAGTCTCAATCGGGAGCGTTCCGATGAAGCAACTCATGAACCAGGCCGTCATGCAAAGAGTGATTGGTGGGAGTCGGTCTGTTGGTGTTGACATGCGTGCGAGTTCCTTGCGACGCGAGCGAGTGAGGCGAATCGACTTACTTGTCGAGGGTCGTGAGTTGGGATCAGCCTCAAGCTCGCCGCCGACCTTGTCCCAGACAGCAGGCATCGAGGTGCGCATCTCAGTCATGAGGACGCCCAGATCAATCTTGGAGCCCTCGAGACTCATCTCATGGGTACCAGGCAGGTAGATGCGTGTGATGACATTGAGAAGCCAGAAGCACTGCTCCTCAGTATCGACAAACAGAAGAAGAAGACCAGCAAGGAAATTCAAGCTCTGGCAGTATCCAATCCGAGGGTTGTAGACTGCAAAGGCATGAAGTACGCGGCGAAGAGAGGTGATGATTGGTGTCTCTCCGTCCACATTGAGAGGCGCTGGGCTGGATCCCCGAGTAGAGTCCGACATTGTTGACTGGCTTTCCCTAGCGCTGCTTGATGCCGTGTCCATCCCGCCGGGAGGCTTAAACTTAATGTTGTCAGGGAATGTCCGATGCAAATCTCGCTCGATAGCTTCAGCGTCAACGTCCTTAGCTCGCTTAGTTGTTAGCTTGTCGTAGAGACCCGAGTGCTTTGCCAGAATGGCGGGACCACCAGCGTAGTAGAACCAAGCTGCACCGCGCCATTCGGGAGGAATGCCCTTGCGAACAAAGCGTTTTGTCTTTGCGTTGGGAGCAGGGAATCGGTTGGGGTGATCTGTCATGAGTGCATTATCCTTGAGGTAGGCATTCCACTTCTTCCGACGGCGTGCCAGGTACTCGGTGTATCCAGCATTCCAGGCATCGTATTGCTGCCGCGTCACGTACTGGTTCGCCTTCTTGAAGCCGTATCGGTCACGAGCGCCAGGGTCCTCAGGCTCGACGGGTTCAGGTGTCATAACAGGTGGTGGAGGGGCTGACACTGGCTCAGGTACAGGCAGAGGTTCAGGAATGGGTGCGGGTGCTGCTGTCGGTGTTGGTTCAGGTGCGGGCTCCGAAGCGTAACCCATATTGCGTCCAGATTCAGGGGTTTCGGGTCGCTCGGAAGGTTCACGAACAGGTGAGAGGGGCGCGGAGACGGGTGGTGCGCTTGTAGGTGTTGGTTCGACAGCAGAAGAAGGTTGTTCATTAAGAGAAGGCTCAGAGTCCAATGACTTGGCTGAATCTCGCTTTTCGTTCATTCCGCGACCGTAGTTTTCTGCAATATGAGGTACTGATGATGTGAAGGCTGGGTGGGTGAAGATCATCTTGGACATCCGAATCTCCATGTCAAGGGTCGAGTTGGACTCTTGTACCTTGCGTTGAGGGAAGTCCTCGTCATCTGCATCGTCTCTGATGCTGTGTCGCTGATCCATGTCTGAGGTTGATGTCACGGGGCGAGAATTTCTGTTGTGATAATCAGGGTAGTGCACGTCGTCTTCGTCGTCGTCGAAACCTTGCTCGTACATGCCCATAACATCCTCAAGGCTCGGTTCGTCGTGCTCGGGGTCGTTGTCGATGTCGTTTTCAGGGTTGGCTTCTTGCTCCCCTTCGCCTTCAGGGCTCGGATATAAAGATGTAACGGAGCTGTCCTTTGTAAGGACACTACTTCTCTCAGTTACTGCAGTTCCTGGAGCAGTAGATTCTGTGAATTGGGAGCGAAAGCTCGATCTGAATTCTTCACCACTCATCCACGGGGCGACGACAGGGCTCGGTGAGGCCGACCCTGGGTTGGAGTAGCTTAATGGTGGCCGTGCGGCGGAAGCTGTCGCACCATTGGCCGTCCGAGCACGGGGCGCTCGAGGCTCATAAAAGTCGTTGGAAGGTGGAGATAGGACCGAGTGGTAGGTAGATGAAGACTGACAAGATGAAACTGAAGGACCGCGGGGACGTGGAGGAGCAGGCCATAAGGGATGTTGCGAAGGTGATACAAGCTCGAGGTACTGGTCGGCGGAATTGAGGCCGGGGGTAGAGGGCGATGTAGCGGTCGCAGTCGCGGTAGCGGTAGCGGTAGAGGTAGAGGTAGCCAGGGTGCTGTGGACTGGACGTGGCTTAGCCGCGTCTGTCATTGGCTGGCGGATACTTTGCTTCCGCGGCCGCGAGAAGTTCTCCACGGTGGGTGGCAGGCTGTCGTAGGCGCGCAGGTCAGCCAGTGACGATTTGGATGTCAGAAATGTCGGAGACGTGTTTCGAGATTCCACAGGAGTGCTTGCCGCAGTATCGTAGCTTAAAGGTGACGGCGAGTGCGGAGAGTCAAATGGTGATCCTGCTCGCTGTGATATTGACTGTCCAAGAATAAATCTTGAAGGGTTTGACATTGAATCCCATCGTGGTGAAACTGGCAGAGGAGGTAAATGTGACAGAGACTCATCAGAGGGTTGGCGAGTATGGCGGTAGGCGGATCCAAACGGCACTATCTGAACCCGAGGAGATGCTAACGGAGACATTGATGGTGAAGTCATAGGCGATGCATAAGGTGATGCATCACTTGTCGAGGTCCCTGGTGCAAGGCTGCTGTTCTCACTATCCCGCTGCCGATTACCATACAAGGCAAACTTGCCTCGGGTTGCTTGTGGTGAACCCGGAGCGTCGGGTACAGAAATAGCGAGGGGAGCCATGGTGTGATGCACTTGGCAGTCGTGGGATCAGGATGCTGCTGCTGGGCGCCAGAGGCTGGCAAAATCTATGGTCGCCCAGCGGGCAGGTATAGATTTGCTATACAAAACGGGGTTTCGCTTTGCGTGCAAGGGTATCGAAATTTTTGGGTCGTGTTCGTCGTTTCGTCGGTGATGCGGTTGGTAACGTTGGTTCAGTTAGTCACTGTACTGCGTCCTCCGGCAAGGTGCGCCGACCGTAGCAGCGCAGATATCTGAA